ACATAAAGTCATATTATAACATCGACTGAGATAAAGAATAAAATAAAATATTAAAATCACGATGTATCTTACTGCATTGCGCGAGTACGCTTCTAGTTTCTTAAAGAGAAAAAAGTAAAAAATTAAAATCTCTAAAAATAAATTACATTTAACTATAATATATTTTTTCCATTTTAAAGATTTTAAAATTAATTAATCATTAAAAATATTATTAATATAACAAAAGTACTTTATTTCTCCTTTTTTTCATTTAATTTCATTGACTATAAATATATTGGGAATAATAAGATAAAGTGTTTGAAGAACTCTTCAAACTTAAAGAAAAAAACAATATATTTTAAAGAATCCGTACAACTATGTTATTTAAGAAAATTTTGAGATTTAAGAAAAGTTTGCTTCAAAACAATGGCAACTTGCATGCAAAAATAACGTACTTTAACTTGATTCTTATTTTAGGTAACGTATTCTTAAAACTTCCATTTTGGTACCTGAAATGTAAAGTTTTAAAATTTTAAGTAACCGGTTGAAGCATTAACTGGTTATCATGCTGATGTGGCGAGTGATGTGGTATCAAACTCAGTATTATTTGCTGATGTGGTTAGTGATATGAAATTTTTTTAATCTAAAATTAGTTTTCAACCGGTTACTATGGTATTTAAATGTTTAAAACCTTACATCTTATGTACCAAAATGGATGTTCTAAAAGTACGTTACCCAAAATAGAAATCAAGTTAAAGTACGTTACTTTTTTCGTGCAATTTACCTTCAAAACAACTATACTAAACTGTTACCTACAATTAAGAACGATAGGAGAGAGGAAAAAAAAAAGAAAATCACCTAATTTAAAAGAAAAGATAAAATATGATGTACTGGTCGAAAATGCCCTAATTTTATATTTCTAAGAAAATTTAGAAGAAACCGTAAGAACATAAAAAAAAAAACCAAGAAAACAAAAACTCAAATGATTTCCAACACACCAGTTCCAAGTCGTTTCAACTCATTGCTCAACTCATCCATTTCGTTTGTAGAATACGAGATGACTGAAACCAGTTTTTTCATTTGATTGGTTGCTTCATTATTTAATTCTTGGTTTCTTCCACTAGCTTGGATAGTTCGGTTGTCCTTTTTCTCTTTTTACTTGTTCCTTCTCTTTCATTTGGAATGGAGGAATGACAAGTTGTATTTGTAGAACTTGGAATGGGGGGAACATTAACTTCAGTAGCAATTTCATCTTCATTTCCCATGTTCATATTCTCTAATGCATCTGTAGCAGATTCAACCATGTTTCCAGTTGCACGATCTTTCCCGAACACCAACTTCAACCGCTAGTATGCTGGAACAGCTTATTAGCCGTGTAGTTTTTATTGGGATGTTTCCACGTCAACTAGCAAACAATTAATAATAGAAGTAACAAAAAACATTATACATAACCCCATTATAATATCTAAGTACTAACCTTTAAATATTCCTCCAAGATATAAACAAATATTATTCCATTACAAACAAGATTCCCGTTACAAACACATAACATATAAGATTCCATAAGACATAATCAAATATTATTCCATTACGAATACCAATCTCAATTACGGCTTAACATCCAAGATTCAAACATCTCTTGAGCGAAATCATCTCTCCACCAAGACCACTCATCACTTGCCTCTACAACATCAATGAACTCGGATGGTAAAGAGTGGTCTTCCCCAATAGAAGTTGGTTTGACAAGCAACACGTCTTCCAAACGCAATATAGCATGCAACACTCGATGAACATAACGACTTATTGTTTCCCCTGACCCATATAACCTAAATTGGATAGTTCTATTCTTAATGTGGTGAGGTAATGTGTTTATATATATAGCAAAAAACAGTCAAAATCAGAAACCCTTCACACAAACATTCATAGGAGCATTCAAAAACCCAAACTCAGATTCAAAATGTTCATAAAAACCACAATAGAAAAGTATTCAAAATCCCAAAATCACGACAAAATAGTCTAAGAAACCACAGTAGCTAATCAAAATCACAAAACAATGGAAGATTTAAAATCATAAAGAAACCACACTAGCAATTTTCTAATAAGCCATGGTAGCTCAAAACGACAGTAATTGATTTGTAAAAATGGTTGTCGATTCAAAATCAATGGAAGATGGAAGATGGAGTTCTGAGTTCATGGAATCGATTTCGAAAACTGATTTCAAGTTCATAGAATCGATTTCGTGGAAGCTGGAGTGTGGAATCGTCTTCGAGTTTGTGGCATATGGAGGTTGGAATCGAGCTGGAAGATGAAGAAAGATGGAGGCGATGCGGTTTAAGAAGGTTTTGTATCTGATGTGAAGTAATACGGGTAATATTGTAATCTCAAAGTCTAGTCTCATGTTGTTCCACATTTTTTGGTAGAACAAAAGAACTCAAGAATACTCTCATGAAAACTCATTTTTTGTCTCATGTCGTCCAATCTTATTTTTGTCATATGGCATGCTAAACATGACACTATTTATTTTTGTCCCGTCCCACCCAGTCTGCATAACACCCTAAAAGACATTAAAATTAAGTGTTTAGAAGAGAGAAATTATAATTCATTAAATATATTAAATATTTTAATAATATAGTTAATGATATAATTGTTAAAACAAAATATTTGTTGGAATTGGATGTTATTTTTTTTTTAAGATTTTAACTTTTGATACTATATTTTAGAAAAAAACTATAACATAGTTGTTGGAGATGCTCATGTATCAAAACACAAAAAAATTGTAAATCAATATGGATCTGAATAACAAGAAATTATAAATCATAAGAATAAAAATAACAACAAATTACAAACCATAAAAACGAAAGCCGTACTTTCAAACCACAAAAATGAAAATCACAATTTTTAACAGGGAAATTAATAAAAATAGCTATTTCAAGACTTTGTATTTATCTCTTAGTCATTCTTCTCCCAATATTTCAAAAATGTCATTAGGTCCGGAGGTGACAACTCCTCAATTAACAGAGGAGTCAAAATGTAACAAATGTTTCTAAACCAGGTCCTCAAGTACAAGGACCAAATCTATAAATTAGATGAAATAAAAGTAGTGCCACTTACGGAAGTGTTCGGGCTAATTGGATCCCTCTGTAAATTAAGAAGGTGTCACTTATGAAGCTAATGATATTTTTAAATTACTATAAGAGAAATAACTAAAAAATAAATATAAAGTCTCAAAACGACTGTTTTAATGAATTCCCGTTTTAACAAACCATCTTAGGGGTTGTTTGACAGTTGCTGAATGATTTGGTGTAAAATGATTAAGTGGTCAGAATGATTAAGATACTCTCATGATATAAAATAAAATGAAATATAATTGTTTGGTAATTGTTTATAATGAAGTTAGGACATGGTTAGAGAGAGACACATAATACAAAATCATTTAAAGAGTTTTAGATTTATTAAGACACATATTTTTTTTGTCAAACAAGATTCATTTCTTAACGATTCAGAGATTGCCTATGGAACTGTTACTAAAAAAATATTCAAAAAAAGGTAAAAATATTCAAGATGCATATTCTCCTTTGCTTTTCACGCAAAACGCAGAGAGACACAAATACCCTCCTTCCCTTCCGTCTCTCTCGTCTTGTTTTTCTTACTTGGCCTCGATAACCCCCCCTGTCGTCTCCTCTTTTCTTGAGAACAAAACACACACACACACACACAACCTTTTCCTTTACCACATACTCTATATCTATATTTATACGTATATCTATATCTACATCTATATCTATATGTCTTCCTTTTCGCCCTGTCTTTATCACCCAAATAGTATTCCTCTGGGAATATCCGGACTACATTTTTGACTCTCAACTGTTTGCCCCCTTCACTTTCTTGAGAAATTAGGGTTCTTGAGATTTTTCTTTTTTTTTCTTACATGAATCATCGCCATTTCTTGCTGCCATCGTCTTTGCATGTCATTTCATGATCTGGGTCAATCGATCCTCGCCCCATTTTCGAATTTTCAACCCGATTTCTGATCTGGGTCTTACTTATTTTATGCTTTTCAAGAACACACCCTTAATTCTTTCGAGGGTTATCGACTTTGGTTTTAGATAATTTTGCGAGTTTTTCTGTTTCGAATGGTCTTCTGGAGGGCGTTTCTTTTTGTTTGATTTTGTAAATTCTCGATGAATTTAGATCGATTGTGGTGCATAGAAACTGCTAAACTCTTGTAATTTATAGGGTTTTACAGTTGAAATCTAGGGTTTTGGAAGCAAAATGGGGATGGGTTCTGATTCTATAAAAAAGAAGGTTTTGGATGTGGATAAATTGAAGGTAAGCAAGAAGAAAGAAGACGATGTTCAAGAAACAGGGTGTTGGATTAAGTTCAGATTCTTTGGGAGATGCATTTCTTCAAGGTCTAAAGTTGAGAGCTCCATTAGTGGCAGCAGCACTCAATATGGTACTTTCTGAAAACCCCCCAATTCAAATAGCTTAATAATCTGCAAAATTGAATCTTTATTAGCTAAAATTACCAGTAATTATAGTGTATTTCTGCATGCCATTAGCGTCTTGCAATCAGGTTATCGATAACTTGTCTTCTAATGGTTATCTTTTTTGAAGTTGTCAAATTTTAAGACTGTAAATCCTCTGCAATCTGTGGATATGGAAGTGTATGTTGTTACTTTGATGTTGAAAATCCACTGTTTATGGTAACTATCTGTTCCCAATTTGCAATCTATTTAGTGTGCTAAAATCAGTTCTTTAAGACCCCCAATTCAGTTAGTTCAATAAATTGCAAAATTGAATCTTTATTAGCAAAAATTACTAGTAATTATAGTGTATTTCTGCATGCCATAAGTAATCTTGCAATCGGGTTCTCGATAGATTTTCTTCTAATGGTTTCCTTTTTTCGAAATCGTCAAGTTTCAAGATTCTAAATCCTCTGCAGTCTGTGGATATGGAAGCATGTTGCTATTTTGATGTTGAAATCCACTGTTTTATGGTAACTGTTTGTTCCCAATTTGCAATCTAGTCGGAATCATTTCTTTAAACTCCATAGAAAAGTAGCAAACAGAATCTTTAAGCTCCATTAGAAAAGTAGCAAACAAAGTCTTTAAGCTCCAGAAAAATCTGTTGCAAATCAAGAACATAAGTATCAGTTTAGGGCCCAATTGGGGAACATAAGTTAAAGGGAAAGTGTATCTCTTTAATGTGGGTATGACCGAAAAGGAAAGATTGTTTCTTGCTTTAGAAATTTGTATGATTAGTTTATGGGTGTGATTTCGATGCATAATTTGTTTCTTTTTCTTTGAGCATATCGGGATAGTATTAATAACAAACGTATTGTGTTCTTTATGGCGTTAGAAAATCGCAAGATGAATGAATCACGTGTTTTTGGACCAAAAATGGTTTGCCAAAACCGAAAGAGAAAGAAAAACTTGGAAAGAATCAAGAATGAAAAAATGGAAGTAAATCGTGCTCGATCATAATAGATTTATTTTACGGGGAAAAAGTTAACTCTAGAAAAGAAAAAGGTTGTGAATTTCTATGAATAGAAGTAGTTGCATATTGGTTTTGTTGGTTTCACGGAAACATCAGGTCGGCATGGATTTCAGTATCTCACATACCAACGTGACACTTTTAGTAGTTCAAAGAACATGAAAATTTACGTAACGGAGAATTAGGGAACTCTATTTGTTATGTTTGTTATATATGGTAAATGAGATCTGTTTTGAATTTATGATATTCTTTCTAGGGTATGAAATAAAGAAACGTTCGCTCGAACGTTGGTGCGTCATAGTTTTAGTAGTCATGGGGCGATGGGGTGTGTGCAAGCATGGTGGCAACCTAAAAGTGAACCATGATGCCCGATTGCCTGGTGTAGATAACCATGGGTGTCTGGGCCAGCTTGCGTGCACCTCAACTAATCCAACGGGGCTTTGAAGATAACAATTGGGAAATCCCCAGTGGCCTTGTGGAGACTCGAACTGCGACCTATGGGGAGGAGTCCCAAGGGTTGACCTTTATTTGCCGGTTGAGCTGAATGCCATTTTCTAAAACAAGAAGTTACCGTTACATGCTCATGAAATTATTTCCATTCACCAATTTAGGAGCTAAAGCCTAGTTAAGCAACTAAGTAAGAAGAATCACTCGTAATCGTGGAAAACCCGCTAAGAGAGGCACAGAGGGACGACTCAATTGGCAAATAGAGGATAGGCATTGGGGCTCCTCCCTATAGGTCGCCGGTTAGTGTCATCTCCGGAACATTGGGGATTTTCTTGGTTGTTATCTTCGGTTATCTTGTTGTCATAGAAGGATATATCGTGTTTTTAACTTCTTTTAGCTTTTATGCTTCTTTGTCTACATGGTAAGATTGTGTGCATAAAACTCTTCCTCGTAAATGATGTATGTTTGTTAGCAGTTTAATGAGCTTAATGGGACTCACAGCTTATTCGGTCAGCTATACATGACTGTTTGGTAGTGGCTTAATGATATAGAAAGTGGCTTATTCAGTAAGCTTCTAGGGCGAGCTTAATGCAGAAAGCCAAAACAATTCCGTACATGCCCCTCCCTATTAAAAAACACGCTTCTTCCATCTATGAAAAAACCCTCCAAAACAAAAACCTTCACAATCTATACAAACTGATCAATCCACATAGACAACTTTATCCATACAGGAATTAATGGAATACCAACCAAACAGCCCCTAAGATTCTCCGATCTTTTTAATGTTACATATGTTCAATTGCTAGTGATAGGTGAGATGGGTTTGGTTTGGTTTTTAGATTGAATCCGCTGATTCCGTGATTTTGTTTTATGAACCAGCTGAAAGTAAATCTACAAATGATAGTAGTACAGACCAACCTGTTGCTCCGGTTGCTTCATCTTCGACCACTAGCAATGGTGAAAGTATTACGTCCACTCCAAATATAACCGAAGAACTAAAAATTGCTTCTCAGCTTCGGAAATTTAACTTCAACGAACTTAAGTCAGCAACTCGGAATTTTAGACCCGAGAGTCTCCTTGGTGAAGGTGGCTTTGGTTGCGTTTTTAAAGGATGGATCAACGAGAATGGGACTGCACCTGTGAAGCCCGGCACGGGTCTAACCGTTGCGGTCAAGACTCTGAACCACGATGGACTCCAGGGTCACAAAGAATGGCTCGTATGCTCCCCCTTCTTAATATTTTCGCTTTCTTGAAGTCTTTGCTGCGTGTTTTCTTGATCTTTGCTTTGTGGCAGGCTGAAGTTAACTTTCTTGGCGACCTCTTGCATCCTAATTTGGTTAAATTGATCGGCTTTTGCATCGAGGATGATCAGAGGCTGCTTGTTTACGAGTTTATGCCCCGTGGAAGCCTCGAAAATCATTTGTTCAGAAGTAAGTTGACGTTTGTTTTTAGTTTACCATTCTTTCTATTACAGGCAAAATACATCAAAATGCAACAAATTAATTTGTTTGTTAGCAGCTTAATGAGCTTAATGGGACTTATGGCTTATTCAGTCAGCTATATGACTGTTTGCTAGTGGCTTAATGGTAGAAAGTGGCTTATTCAGTAAGCTTATAGGGGAGCTTTATGCAGAATGCCAAAAAATTTCGAAACCTGCCCCTCCCAATTAAAGTACACGCTCCTTCCATTTATGAAAACACCTTCCAAACAAAGATCTTCGAATCTATCCAGACAGCCCCTAAGTTCGGTTTAGTTCTTGTATATTGTAACGAAGGATTTTTTTTCCAATCATTGTAGCAAAGTTTCAAAAATTCCTGCTTTTACCCATTTTCGACCGGTAACCGGCTGATCTTCTAATATTTGACAATGTGAATGCCCAGTTTATCTGTCAAAAAGGTATTCATGCCGTCTAATGTTACAAGATCAGCAAGTTACCGGTCAAAATGCGTACACAATAGGAAAGTTTGGAACTTCATTACATCGATTGTGTAAAAAGTATCTTCGTTACATAGGGAACTAAACCAAATTTTGTTACATTTTTTATGCGTTTTGCTCGTTTTTCGGTTAATAGCAGGTCTGAACTTTTCATGCACTCACAGGGTCACTGCCTCTTCCATGGGCTATGAGGATGAAAATTGCGCTTGGTGCTGCAAAGGGTCTTGCTTTTCTTCATGAGGAAGCCGAAAGACCTGTTATTTATCGAGATTTCAAAACGTCAAATATTTTACTCGATGCGGTTTGTGGCTCTTTAAATTCCGGTTTATACTTTTATGTCATCATTCATATGTGAAGATCAATAATATCTATACCTTTATGTCATTATTCGTATGTGAAGATCAATAGTCTTGTATCGTGATCACTGTCACTTGTTTTTAGGACTACAATGCGAAACTTTCTGATTTTGGACTTGCGAAAGACGGTCCGGAAGGCGATAAGACCCATGTGTCGACTCGTGTGATGGGTACATACGGCTATGCCGCCCCTGAGTATGTGATGACAGGTGCGTTTTTTTCCTTCCTATTACTCTGCATGAATGAAGTTCACTGGGTTAAGGACCGGCGGTCTGCTCTGATCTGGTCCAATTTTTTATCCGATCGAGATCCGGTCCTAAAAGACCGTTCTGCCCAAAAAAATGGGACTGATTAAGGGCTAGCGGTCGGGTCGGATCTGATCTGACGTGATGATGTCATGGTCTGATACGGGGCCGGTCTTTTAGCCCATCTAATTATTCATATATTTTCCTAAATTTAAAAAAACTAGTTACAAATATCAATTAAATACAATATCGTAAAATTGATTATAATATGTATAGAGTAAATTACGTCTTTCATCCCTGTGGTTTATAAATTACAGTTTTCGTCCATCTGGCTTGTAATTCATTGTTATTTTGGTTCTTATAATTTACAATTTATCGTTGTTTTGGTCCCTGTAGTTTGCCATTCTTTACTATATTAGTCCCTTATACTTAAAGGTAAATGTTCAAGGACGAAAATAACAATAAATTGCAAACTATATGGATGAAAAAGCAACTTTTAAACCACAGGGATGAAAATCAAAATTATTAACAAACTACAGGGAGTAAAATCATAATTTACTCATATATATGTTAATTGGATGGTAGTTGGATTGGACCAGTTAGGTTTTATTGATTCTGAATTGCCATCCAAGAACTGACAAATCCAATTTGGATGTTGAAAATTTGGATCTTATCTGATCCATTTGTGGTCGGTCTGTTTTAATTGGATTGGATGACTTTCTGCACATCGTTTTTTCCAAAGTCCATGGATGAATGGTGGTTTCAGTTGTTTCATTATCTAATACGATCGGATTAATATCAGGGCATTTGACATCAAAGAGTGACGTCTACAGTTTCGGGGTGGTCTTACTTGAGATGATAACCGGGCGGAGATCGATGGACAAGAATCGGCCCAATGGCGAGCATAACCTCGTGGAATGGGCTCGACCGTATCTAGGTGAGAGAAGAAGGTTCTACCGGTTAATAGATCCCCGATTAGAAGGTAGATTCTCGGTAAGAGGTGCACAAAAGGCGGCTCAGTTAGCCACCCTTTGCCTTAGCCGTGACCCTAAGGCTCGACCGCTTATGAGCGAGGTTTACGAAACCCTGAAACCGCTACCGAACCTCAAGGACATGGCGTGTTCTTCGCCGTATTTTCAGTCGATGCAATTGGAGCGGACCGGAAGCAACCCGAGTAGTAGAAACGGGTCGAAAGGGCAGTCTATGAGGAGCCTTTCGATTTCAAACTCCCCGTATAACCAGAATCAACCATATCGGTCTCCGAAACCGGTGCAGTAGCGGGATCGGAGGTTGGAATGGTGTGAAATTGGTGATTCGAGATGACCTGAGAAATCAACTGATTGATGAATTGATGATGTTTTGTTTGTTTTATTGATGAAACCCTTGTTTTGTTTGCTTCTTTAGTGTTGAAAGCCTTCATGGATGTACTTCTTTCTTGTCTGCATCTTTTGGCTGCATTTGGTGTGCAGATTGGACTGGACAGGACATGACAAAAAAAAAATAGTCTCATGTTTGGTATTCCTTTCGTCTCAAAATAAATGTCCACAATGAAAAAAACCGACGTTTTTAATTAACACCTATCGGTAAAATTTAACATTATCATTTACTTGTTAGGTATGATTCTAGTCAACAAAAACGGTTTTATATGAAACAATTTACCAGGTAAGAGTCATTGATCTCATTTATCGGGACTCTTGGTCCTTGCTTCGCTCTTACCGTTTAAGATTCTTCGTTTTTGTTATATTCATCCGGTAAGGTAATGTAACGTGATAAAAGCTAAGCATTTGGTAAATGGTACCTTATTCTACCTTTGTATAAAAATTATAAGATTTAACCCTTGGAGTTCATGGAATATAATTTGAGGCCTTTGTACTAACTGATTTACGGTCTGTTTGTGCAAGAAGTTGCTAAACCCTATTGATCACCATTGCTCATTTGCTCTTACTGGTTTTCATGGTAATAACCTTCATCGAATCGTTTTCAATTAGGGTTTAATCAAAATTTAGGATCATTAGGGAACCGTTTGTGAAGCTAACTGCGATTGAGGTCATTTTGGGAAGATGGTGTTGGTAATGGCGATCGGAGATTTGCATATTCCACATAGGGCAATGGAATTGCCAGCGAAGTTCAAATCGATGCTTGTTCCTGGCAAGATTCAACACATCATTTGCACTGGTAATCTCTGTATCAAAGTAAGTAACTACTACTTTCTCAAATTCAATCGTTTGAACAATTAGATTTTTTACTTTCTATATAGAATTAAGAACACATGTCCATGTGTGTGATTCGTAAACTTCGAGTAGATCTGTGTGATTTTAGGTCAAAATGGAACAAATTAGGGGTTTCAACTATAATCTGGTGGATCTGCATTGCCGTTTGTGTAACTTTCTATTCTCTTATGGACTTTTTTTAATTTCTATTTGGTGTTGAAAACCAAAATGTCTGAAAAAAATGTTCATTGATCATTGCATACTGTCTCCACCACCGTCGTCGGTGGCGTAACCACCATCGTCGGCCTCCTCTGTCATCACACACAACACCAGCACCAGGCGTCGCCATTGCCAACTCTTGTTTGAAGGCTACAATAGCTTAATCGGGAGTGACGACCAGCCCACCGTGCCTTTAACCAAAACTCTGTAATACAAAAGAATTTTATGTTAATTGAGGAAACACTAAATACGAACTAAATTAAACTTTGTTACATTTTGATATATTTTGCCCTGTTATTTCGTATGAAACAATGCTTGTTCATTTGCGAATTCGAGTTGTGTTACATATATTTGTTTGGCTATTAACCTTCACGGACGTCTCCATGAACAGGAAGTTCATGATTATTTGAAGAGCTTGTGTCCTAATTTGCATGTAACTCGTGGGGTATACGATGAAGATGCTCGTTACCCAGAAACCGAAACGCTTACCATCGAACAATTCAAGCTTGGGTTGTGTCACGGTCACAAGGTTAGCCGCCTCTCAGCTTATTTCTCGACTTCAAATAGCACCTCCCCCGGCCCGTTTATGACACAAGAATGGGCAAGTTATCTATTGTGCAGAAAGAGGTTTGAGTTTGCTATATTAGACTAGTTGTACAAAAAAAAAATAAGTTAGGCCCGACTTCTATCTGGCCCAAGCCCATAAGTGGTCACCTCAAGTACAGACAAGTTATCAAACCCACAAAAACAGGCTTGTATTCGGTACATTAGGCCCATTGGACAAAAAGAAAAGTTAGACTTCGACAGATGTGTGTCCCAACCCCACAAACGGTTACCATTGGCATGTGCAAGTTGTCAAGTGCACAAAATTGGGTATGAGTTTGCTATATTAGGCCTGTTGAACAAAAAAGATAGATTAGACTTGACTCGTGTCCGGCCCAAGCCCACAAATGGTTACCTCTAGTATAGGCAAATTATAGCAAAAAGGGGTTTAGGTTTGCTATATTAGACCCGTTGGGCAAAAAAATAGGTTAAGCTCGACCTGTATATGGCCCACGCCCGCAAATGGTCACCTCTAAACTGCATCACTAATCGAGCGGGTAATTGACGTCATTGTGTTTATTGTAGGTTGTTCCATGGGGAGATTTGGATTCTTTAGCGATGGTGCAACGACAATTGGATGTTGACATTCTCGTTAGCGGTCATACTCATCGGTTCATGGCATACAAACACGAGACAGGTATGGTCATAAACCCTGGTTCGGCCACCGGTTCATACTGTGGCATGACGTATGATGTGAACCCGAGTATCGTTCTCATGGATATCGATGGTTTGAGGGTTGTTGTGTACGTTTATGAACTCATTGATGGAGAAGTGAAGGTTGAAAAGATCGACTTTAAGAAGACGTCTGCGACAACTTAAGATTTCTAATCATCGACGCCAACTTTAGGCTCGTTTTCGTTGTTCGATATCTTGTATACAATCTGTATAGAACCCTATAATAACTCTTCTTTGAGTAAATCTACGATATCAATTTTCGCTATCAGCCTGGTGATACGTTTCTGATAATTCACTCCGGTAACTACCAAATATGCTCGATTAACTTTAAGAGCATCTTTAGGCGGAACACCAACTCTTATCTCAAATACTAAAAACAATTGATTGACTTATTTTGGTGTGGCACCGGTAAAAAGCACTTTTGAGTGTTTGGATAAACAACTTATACCGGTGCCAAACCAGTAATAAGGAGTTTTTGAAGAAGTTAAACCTTTTTGACTTATAATAAGTTGATAAGTGCTTTTGTAAAAAAACATAAGTTGTTTCAAATAAGCAATCCCAAACACCTCCTAAATTTGATACTAAAGTGGTTATTAACTTATTTCGATGGGTACTGGTAACAAGGAGTTTTTAGTGTTTGGATGGAAAAAAAAAATACTTATACCAGTTTGACACCAGTAATAAGGAGTTTTTGATAAATTACTTACTTCTAAATTATTTCCCTGTGATATCGGTAATAATGAGTTTTTAGTGTTGGATGGGAAAAAAAATACTTATCAGCTAATTACGTTTGGTTACCGGCATAAGCTAATTCAAATACATTTTATTAAACTTCAGTTGTTTTAAATAAACAATCTCAAACACCCCGTAAACCACTCCAATGGAAACATCAAATTCGGTGTAACACTATTCATTTACACAAATCAGAGAAATTAAAAAATAAATAGTAAATTATTATTTTTGTCGATGTGGTTTGTTATTTTCTTATTTGATCTATACTTTATTGTTGTTTTGATCCTGTGGTTTAAATTATTTTACTCTTTTAACCCTTGTACTTAAATGTAGGAATTGGTTTAGAAACGAAAATAACAATAAATTGCAAACCACAACGATAAAAAAAATACAATTTCTAAATCACATGGACGAAAATCAAAATTATTAACAAAATTCATAATTTACTAAAAAAATATACCTAAAATGTTAGATTTGGTGACTTGATGTTAGCCTTGAAAAAGATTTCTTGTTTGTACAAAATTTTATACTAATTTTTTATGAAAATTGGTATTAATATTATCCATTGAAAGGAGATTGAAGATGCCCCAACTGTTTTTCCATATTTCTTTTCAAAATGAAGAAGCAAAATCCAACGAAAGAGACTTGCATTACCTCCGTTGGTCCCTAAATTTTGAATATTTTAAAATAAATTATGTTATTAAAATCTTTAATACCCTAAGAAACATTTTGTACAATGACTAGAAGGGTGTTTGCATAGTTTACCGATATATATATCTTAATTTTAATGTTTTATTTTATTATTTATATATGTTGATATAATACGGTTTTTAGTGGTTTTGAGAAAGCGATAATGTTTTATTTTTGAATAAAATATATCATAAATTTTTGGAAAAGAATTATATCGATATTAGTATCAAATTTACTATTTAAATTTCTGGTTTTTTGTGTAATTTCTTTTATTCAATATTTTATTTATAAATTAATTTAGATTTAATAATGAAATAATTTATAATATAACTTTTATAAATATAATAATTAAGTATTTTGTTATAACTAATGATTATTCTAATTATATTTTAGATTTTTTATATTCAAAATGATATGTTTCTTCCGTATTCGATTGTGTTTATCTATACTTACTTACACAAATTCAAAAATAAAGCTTTAATAAGTTATACATACGCATAATTTACTTCAAACAATATGCATCAATAAACAATACCTTATGTATAAAAAGTTGTATTCAAAAGTTTTTGTCAAATGCTTTATAATATAGTATAGATAATACAAACAGTTTGGTGTTACAAACACCTTCAAGGATTAACGTCCCGAAACGAAAACAACAAAATAACTTCGGATTCAACTTAAAACCATGGTGAAAGTTATCGACAGCCTACAACTTTAAGATTATAAAGAGTCCATAAATCTACTGTTTTATCCATGTAGGATGAGTTGTTACACATCTCTTAACGGAAAAAAAAAAGATCAAAAAGTCGAAAATCTCAAATTTTGAAGAATTTGTTGGAGAGATGCTGTAAGAAAGTCTGCAATTGATTTATGAGGAAGCCCAGCTGAACAGAAATATTGATGTTAATTATAATGAAAATGAATTCATTTCTCTACAATGAATTCTTGAATCTCTATACCAGTATGCCTAGCACCACCCTGTAGTCTCACCAACACTTGATCACCAACTTTCAGTGACGTCACTGGAATTGCTGTTGCTTCCTTTTCTGCACCTGCAAATCGATCCGTCCGTCGATTTAGCTCTCTAAGATATACATAGACGATATATGGATTAGACGAAGGATCGTGTGAGAATAAGAGTTAAGTTGAGAAGCGTAAGGAGGAATTTGGACCCTTGATCAACTTTTAATCTCAACCCCACCCAATGAATTGTGCTTCTCATGAATGGATCCGGTGCATTTCGGTGCATCTCATTAAGGTTGATCTTCAATTAGAATTGATCCAAGGGTGGAGATCTCTTCTTACCTTTCTCATCATAACTTCCATTCTCACCGGAACCCAACCCATATTGACTAACCTCCGACTGTGTATATTCATTGGTTGAAAATGGATCTAGCCATTTAGGTTGATCCGATCCAAATCCAATCATCCACTGGACGTCGGATTTTTCCATCTGATCCGATCGATCCAATCTAATGGATGATATGATCAAATCGGTTCCATCCATTAGATATTACTATTGGTTATCCATCTCATAAGATTGGATCCATCCGATATTTTGATTAAATTTTCAACAAATTAATCCACCGTTTTAACAAGATATACTTACATTTTTATAATTTCTTAATAAACACTACATAAAAATATAAACTAAAATTAAAATATTATATATATATATATATATATATATATATATATTAATTGGATGATCGTTGGGTTGGATCGGTTTGGTTTTATTGGATTTTGGACTGCCATCCAAAACCGACAAAACCAATTTGGTCGTTGAAAATTTGGATCCCATCCAATTACAATTGGATATCCAGTTAGTTTGGTTGGTTCTAATTGAATCGGACTACTTTATGCACATATGAACCTTTCATGGGAGGTACAAGTCCGACAGTCTCAGCGTTCTGCAAAAGAATGCTGTACGAAGTTTTCTGATCTGAATCAATCTGTGATCATAAATTTCGAAGATAAAATCAGCATAACAAGGTGGTCAGTTGAGATGCAACTTACATCAAGTAAAGCAAAACCAGACTAAACCAAACAAACCCAGTATATCCCACCACGAGGTGAAGTCTGGAGAGGGTAAGGGACTTCTCGTTAGCAGCTTAATGAGTTTAACGAGACTCACAACTTATTCAATCTGGTATACATGACTGTTTGATAATAGTTTAATGATATAGAAAGGGTCAGTAAGCTTAGCTTAAAGAGTTTAATGAGACTCACAACTTATACAGTCTTATACATGACTGTTTGATAATGGTTTAATGATATAGAAAATAGCTTAATCAGTAAGTTTATTGGGGAAACTTTATGCAGAAACCCAAGTTTTTTTCTTTCCAAACCTGCCCCTCGTAATTAAAAAACACGCCACTTCCATTTATAAAAAAAAAAACATCCCAAACAAAAACCTTCCAATCTATACAGATAGATTAATTAACATAGACAACTTTATCCATACAGGACAAGATGTATGCAGATCTGACCTCTATCCCAGAAAGTACAACAGTTGTCCCTATAAAGACCCCAACTTGTGAAAAGTATGTCAAAGAGAGAAAGAATGACAATTTTTTTGAAAAGCTGGTCAAGAGCAAGCAATAACATACAAATAGAAGCAGGTATACGAAAGACCAAGTTGGTGGCAAAAACGAACCTTTGCATCCACAATGATTAATGGTCGGGTCTCAATCTTTACACGTCCAACTACTGCTGTTCGTTGTATGCCACTTTGATCAACAACAAGGATCTCTTTCCCTGCTTTGAGCTCCGAAAGGTAGCAAGTTTTACCTCCCGGAACCGCCACATAGGCATGCACTGGACCCTGCAAATGTCAATATGGCATTCAGGTCAGATAAAGAATGTCCTGTTAGCAAAGGGTCATTGGCCTAGCAGTATACGGGTTCTCGGTAGAGCAGAGGCGGACCTATGAATTTTTTCAAGTGGTGGCACCATTTGACTATAAGAAACGAAGATATGGATATTTTTCACAAAATAATTATTGGTCTGATGGTTAATTCCTTGCTTTTTGTATGTGAGATCCTATGTTCGAGTCTTTTATTGCAAAAAATTTCTGAAACATAATAAATCTGAAATTAAAAGCTAAAAACTAAGAAAGTGATCCAAACAAGATTCAAATCTGCACCAAGCGTAGGTATTAAATCCATGCAAACCAACTCTACCAGGGGAAATTTGTGTCATTGTTGTAGTTTCAAAGTATATACCACACAACAAAATGATACGATGACACCTTTCATGACCCTATAATTTTTTACACTGTGACGGAGGAACGAAGCGGTGGCCTGTGCCATCGTATTGTATGAAGTGGGTCCGCCACTAAGGTAGAGCCCAACCTCCATAAAGGTCAAAGGTTCAAGCCTCACCAAAGTTGAGAAGAGTGTGTGGGCTTTGCCGTATATAAAATATTATATACTTCAAAAAGAAGTCTTGTTGACCTAACAACACACTATTCAGAAAAAGTAATTGCTGGTGAACCCATATAAAAGATTGCTAGTTAACCCTAAAAGATAAGAATTTAGTGATACTGCGAAAAATGTGGTGGTAATATCAATGATACCAACCGGAATTCTATCCAATAGCGTCTACACCTCAAAACTAATCTGAGTGCATTAATCATATATTATTTAATCACTGCCAAACAAAAACTCACTGCATTAACTCGGAAAGGCCTGCTGGCAATGTAATTCGACTCCAAGCATTCTGAGTGAACAAGGAATAACCCTCTAGCGAAAGATCCAACCTACAGGAAAAAAATGTTGGAATTAAACGATTATAATATAAATAAAAGACATTACATCAAAATTAACCATTTGGTGAAGCGGTACCCAGGTTACCGGTACAGCCCATCCTCCCCAGAGGTCAACAGTTCAAGTCTCACCAAAGGTGTGTAAGTATTGACGTACATAAATATTATATACTGCAAAACAGGGGCGGACCTGTGGGGGGATATGGTGGCCCATCCCACCCCTTCATGGTTCCATCTTTAGTGGAAAAAAATCACGTTCTTGAAGGGTGCCACAGTAATGTTTAGTTGAGATTTTGTGAAAGTTTTCTATGGCTTTCAGCCTTATTGTCAAATTGTATCACTACTTGAGATTTTTTATGGGTCCGTCTCTGCTTTAAAAAAAGAGAATCATAACAAAATAGCATGAGTACCAGAAGACCTTCACCAGGTCTCATGAGGCTACAAAGATCAACGCAAACTCTATCTCCCATTCCAGTCATTTGAACTCCAGTAATAGTAGCTTTGGTTAAGCCCAGTAGACTGCCTTCTTCATATCTTTTGTCAATATAGTCCTGACGATATCAACTATATAAGAAATCCTGACTCACTAGGGACTCCATGGTATTTAAAACCGTACCTTCAGCTCAAGGACGGCTTCAACATCCTCAACTTTCAAAACTACTCCTCCAAGACCTTGCTCCAATGCCTACAGAAGGGCTAATAGTGAAACTGAGTCACCTAGATGGAAATATCACATAATTACAATATGAAGTGTCTTGAAAAGATTCAAATCCTTTTGTAGGTAGCACTTTTTGGTCTCGAACTTTACCTCTAAGAAAACTTGAGCTTCTGAGGGACTGTTTGAGATGGCAAAGACTGTTTTGCGAGTGCCATGAAATGCTGCAACAATGTTCTCTGCAGGAATCACCTTAAAAAGAAACATAAATAATAACCAAATTAGAAGTTGAGAGTTGGGTTAATTTAATTCAGCACACAGGTATACCGAGCATCGACAAACTGAAGCCATCCGCAACAAGCAAAAACAAAGAAAATAAAGAAGTGTAGATGACATAAAATGTCTACTTTCTTGCAGATATATATATATATATATATAGAATAAGAATCGGGTTGCTGCTTACCTGCCAATCCAATAGATCAACAATAACATTATCTGCATGCTCATATGCTGGCTGGAGCTGCTCTAATTGTTGGGGAGACGATATTTCAGAAAATGTGGCAACCAGTTTAGCCTCGTTGTCAAGAACCCTCTTGTCTTCAATAAAGAGAGGATTTATCAATGCTATTGCTGCACGTAGCACCAATACAATTAGGATGGAGGAAAACCAACTGTTGGTATTCATAGCTTGATACAAGGACCATCATCCATATATTTACCACTTGTCACCAAATGAGAGTGTAGCAGCAATGTAGGACAGAAAGTGCAAAGAGGTACAGGAGAAGAAATGGAGGATTAGACACAAAAGATTCTCAACATTACCAAAGGGCCATTGGCCTAGATGTAACCGATAACCCAAGCTTCCTAGAGGTCAAGGGTTCCAACCTCATCAAAGTTGAGGAGTGTGTGTGAGTTTCATTTGATGTATATAAATATTATATACTTCTAAAAAAAGCAACATTACAGAAAGGTTTATGGTTTACCAGTCACTAAAGCATAATAGACTTGTAAGAAGTTCTAAGAAAGTTGACCTAAAAGGGATAACCCTCTGCTAGCATAAAGGTTGAAAGTTATTGAGGGGGATTGAATTAAAATTTGATAAAAAGATATCCACATGAAAACAAATTTGATATAAATAATAAGCAAAAGAGACCAAATTTTGGGTGGAAACCCTATTCAAAATGAGCAGTAAAACCATGGTACCATAATCTACCAATGATTAATGGAAATACACAATCCTCTGATCCTCTCTAGCAAAACCCAAGGCATGCAATCACAAAATAAAATATCACAATAATCATAAAAATGGTACTGAGTGTCAACAAGATGGTAGAGAAGGTACCAAAAAGTAGAAGAAAAAACACAGTATTAGCAGGAGGACAGTGGTTGCAACTTGCAATCAACCAAATCAGACTAACTTTGAGGTCTCTACATCCAATCTCCCCCTTCAGCTTCATATGAGTTAGGAAGAACACAACAAATTTCCCTGTCGAATAATGAACCCTACAATCACTTGCTTCTAGTCGGTTGCACATAAACATTTAGTGTGAGATTTCAGCATAAAATTTTTCCTCTTTTCTTAGTTCTTTTGCTTTCTCCCTCTTTCGTGAAAGAACCTAACATTCAGTTGACTCCAACGCAAACCCTTAACTGTCAGTAAGGGATATAAAGGACAAAAATATCCTATGATCAGAGGATGTTAAAGTCTATAATAAGCTTATGTTCGTGGCTTCTCAACTTAAGTGTCAATATCACCATATGAGACATTGCTTTGCGAAAAGAAACTCGTTTTTTTAATTGGCCGGCTAGAAATCCTGCAAGAATTAGGGTTTCCATAAGGCTTGGAAATCTAATCCAACAAACTCCCCCTAGAAACAATACAAAAAAATTCATCATCCAGGTAGTCAAATGTACATCTCAAGCAGTCAAGCTCTTCTTTGGCAATGGCTTTGCCAAACATAAGTCAGTCATTGTGATCCATATAAATTTCATCGAGCCCCATCAAACTAGTTTTCAAAACATATCTTACTACTAATTAACACAGCATATTGAGACCTATAATAACTAGCAAAACCGAAACCTCGATATCCAAAAGGACAAGCATATAATCCTATACCTCCATACACATCAATATTGAGTAAATAAACATGAATGAATCCAGTAAACTTACACGACCAATCTGTAGCGAGCTGGCGATGAAGAGAAGAGAAGACGAAAGTGTTCCAACCTCTTTCAACGGCTGCCGTCATAACCTGCTTGTTCTCCGTCCAAATCCACACCTCCTTCTTCTTCTTCTCTGTCGACAGTACAACCAAACCACCCCTAAACCGCGAAATTCGCTTACCACGGTTGCTTCTGAAAGCACAATTGATTAATCTACGAGTGTTCGATTTGCCTAAACAATAATTACCAAAATTCAATGCATAATCAAGTGATTTATAACATTTATGATGAATCAAGTGGCTAGTGCACAGTAATTGGTAATGTGGAGAGAACCTGCAATGGTGAATTCGGAGGAAAATGGAGGATTAGAAAGCGATAGAGTAGCCATTCCTGTTTTTCCTACTTCTCAGTATTTTATCAATTCATTACTGTTTAAAAACGAACAAGTATTGAAACTGCAACTAAAGATTTTGCATTTCTTACAACTTAATCTTCAACAACTTGATTTCTATTTTAGGTAACGAATTTTAAAAACTTCGATTTTTGGTATCTAAGATGTAAAGTTTTAAATATTTAAGTATTCGGGTAACCGATTGAAACATTAATCGTTTATCATACTGATGTGACGTTTGATGTGGTATCCAACTCATTATTATTTGTTGATATAGTTAGTGACATGGATTTTTTAATCTAAAATTAGTCTTCAACTGGTTACCTGGATACTTAAATGTTTAAAACTTTACATCTTAAGAAATAGAAGTTCTAAAAGTACGTTATCCAAAATAGTAATCAAGTTAAACTACATTACTTTTTAATGTAATTTGTCTTTGTTCATTATATTTATGTTTGTAAATATAATCAAAATATAGTACTATACTTTTTTGGGAGCGTATGATTTGCACGATTATGACGGAACGTAAAATAATTGGAAATGATCAATTTTATCGACCAAATTGCATTCATGCGTTTAGTTTACCTATCAAATATAATTGAGAAGGAATTCAATTACACTTCATCTCATTTTTTTTTTCAAAAATACAAATTATTTTCGTCCTCCCTCGTTGATTTACCCAAACCCATATGACCACCGTTTTGAACCACCGCCAATCTGAACCTCCATTGCCGTTGATTGTGTTTATCTGCAGTTAGTTACCCGAATTCAGATATGGGAAGGGTTTAAGAGTTTTTAAGAGTTTTAGCCAAATGCTTTATAAGATAGTATATATATATATATATATATATATATATATATATATTACATTTAAAGTGATAAAAAAAATCAAAGGATCTTTGGCCTAACAGTATTGTAGCATTTGGCCTCTTAGGAGGCTAGAGGTTCAATCCTTAACAAATGTGAAGAGAATGTATAAATTTATTTGTTTCATTTTTATATATAAATATTATATACTCAAAAAAAGTTAGATAAAAAACATACAAGAGCCAAATTGATTATTATGCTGCAAAGGCAAAAACATGAATCATAAACAATATATATCCATTTAAAAACGTACTTTATTCTCATTCTAAATCTTCCTACTCAATGTTTAAATGCTTGATCGAGAACGTGAACAACATTCGGTGCTTGTAAATTTGACCCGGGTTAATGATTTGTGACGGGAAGTTCGGGTGGTTAACCGAATCGGGAAACCCTTGAGTCTCGAGACACAATCCGGCGTGCTCTCTGTACACGAACCCGCCTTTTCCCTTCACACCCGTTAATAAATTCGAGGCCGTGTAAAACTGGACACCCGGTGCATTCGTGGCGAGTTTCATTGATCTACCGGACTTTTCATCCCACACGATGGCCGCAACCTTCATCTTCCGTCCCTTTTCGCCGTCCAGCACGTAGTTTATGTCGTAGGCGTTTGGAAGTTCGTCGATCTTGGATTTTATGGCGCAGGGTTGTCGGAAATCATACGGTGTGCCTTTGACGGGAACGATTTTTCCGGTGGGAATGAGGTCTTTGTTCGTTGGCGTGATGCAGGACGCGAAAATCCTGATCTTTTCGGATAGGATATTGCCGCTATTGTGACCTCCAAGGTTCCAATACGTGTGTTGGGCTAGGTTAACCGGGGTGGCCTTGTTTCGGGCTTTTGCCTCCATTGTTACGCTTAGTTTGTACTTACCGGTCAACGAATAGGTGACGGTTACATCAAGATCTCCAGGAAATCCTGGCTCGATTCAAGTTAAGTCAAATCAGATCAAATCAAGACTCGGGAATTCGATAAAATAAAAACGAAACCAAGACGGACCTTCTTCGCCATCGAAACTTTGGTATCCAAACGTAATACAGGCCAATTCGCCCGTTTTTTTATGCTTCAAGACCTCCCAAATCACGTCGCTAAATCCTCGATGTCCACCTGAACATTAAAGTAAAATATCAAAAAAGCTCTTTGAAATCAACCGAAAAGCTTAAAAAATCCCTCAAAACGGCGGAATTTGGGTAAAAGATATCGAATGGTTTTTAGGTCTTTGATTCATCTTAAAAGTGCATCCGCTCGACAAAAATCAAGAACCCGTCACTAATTATTAGAGCATCTATAATTGTCAAACTTTTTCGTTAGAATCCAGAAGCACAAAAAACGAGCTCTTTGAAAACTTGCAACTACGTAAGCAAAATGAAGCCGGTTTATTTTTGTCGATGGTTATTTCACAGGCTTATATGGTCGAAAAACCGCAATTATGGATGCTCTAAAAACGATAATTAATTAGAAAACTGATTAAACCGTAAATAAAAGCAAAGAACGATCTCAAACCATGAAGCATGTTATGCTTTTCGTTAGCGTCTAATTTGTAACGGGTTCCGTTTAACTTGAATTGAGCTCCTGCAATTCGGTTAGCTACCCGTCCAACGATTGCTCCAAAGTACGTCGAATCATTCTATAATAACATAAACGAGTAACAATTCTGATTTAGTGACGAGTTCCGGATAAAAGAAAAATACGGTATTCTTTAAACAGGGGTTCATGTGAGAAGCGTAAGAATGAATCTTCATCATTTGATAAACCTTAGAATGAGATGTACCGGATAAATCCTCATATCAAGCGTGATTTATAAATCAATTTAAGATTAAAAGATGATCAAGGGTTCAGATCATTTCTTTTAACACAACTCAAAATAAATATATGTATTTTCCAAAAGAACTGGAATAAAATAATAAAAAGGAATATTTGTCCAAGTTTTGACTTTTCGAGTCAAAATTGTTGACTTTCTTGAGTCTTAAAAGGAGGGTACAGCTTGATTTTTTGTCATCATTGGTCACATCCAAAAACAATTAAAAGTTAATTATGATTCTCGTTCAACGGTTTGTAAACGATTTCTATTTTAAATTGTATGAAAAAACAATGTACTTTAATTTGAGTTCTATTTTAGATAATATACTTTCAAAACTTCTATTTTGGTATCTAAGATTTAAGTTTTAAATATTTAAGTATCCGGGTAACCGCTTGAAGATTAATTTTAGATTAAAGAAAATTATGTCACTAACCACGTCAGCAAATAATACTGCATTGGATATCACATCACTCGCCACATCAGCATGATAACTGGTTAATGCTTCAACCAGTCACTCATGTACTTAAATGTTTAAAACTATACATCTTAGGTACCATAATGAAAGTTTTGAAAGTATGTTACCCAAAACAGGAATCAAGTTAAAAGTACGTTATTTTTTCATGCAATTTAAAATGAAAGAATTATAAAACACCGGGACTAAATCAATAATAAATTTTTAATCATATCATAAGGATAAAAATCACAAATATCAAAACAACAGGGATGAAAATCACAACTTTTAACAAACTACAAGGACTAAAAACATAATTTACTCAAAGATTAACTAAAAATCAAACCATACAATGGGGAAGAAAATGAAAGGTATATGAAAGCTATTTTTTGACAAATTAATATTTTAATTTTATTTTAAAATTATTAAAAAAAGGAGCCTTTTATACCAAAGACAAAGCATTTATTATTGAAAACAAATCATTTAAAGCATATTAAATTAATTCGTTTTAAAGTTGTACTTTCAATTAAAATTTTGGACAAATTAAATGAAAAAATAACATACTTTAACTTGATTCTTACTTTGGATAACGTACTTTCAAAACTTTCATATTAATACCTAAGATGTAAAGTTTTAAACATTTAAGTATCCGGGTAACCGGTTGAAGCACCAACCATGTTGATGTGGTATCCAACTCAATATTATTTGCTTACGTGGTTAATGACATGATCTTTTTGAATCTAAAATTAGTCTCCAACCGATTACCCGGATACTTAAATGTTTAAAACCTTACATCTTAGGTACCAAAATAAAAGTTTTGAAAGTACGTTACCCAGAACATGAATCAAGTTAAAATACGCTACTTTTTCACACAATTTGTCCTAAAACTTTATATATGGTAATCGAGGGTATCAAGGTCAGCTAATGCACGGTGGCTAATCCTAAGGGACCGTGGATGCCTCAAAGTCATCACAGATGAATCTTCATAGTTACAAGAGCTCTGACGACCCCTGATTCAAACACAGGGAATATGATATTTCCATTACATCTCCTGAGCGTTAACGAGTGCGTCATTACCCAAGTAGTGAGAACGTACGACGAAGGTTAAGTAAAGTTCATATGTGAATTATTTAAAAAAATCTGAAGAAAGGTGAATATGTGACTGATGTTACAAGACATTTATATAGGTTCACATATGCATCTTTAAATGTATTTTTTTTATGTATTAAAAGAGTGGAGCATAAAACCTGACCTTGTATGTATAGACAGAGTCATATCCCAGAACCACATCTCCAACCTTCCCTGAAAACACACATAAACAGTTTTATAACACACACACACACACTCTCTCTCTCTCTCTCTCTCTATATATATATATATATATATATATATATATATATATATATATATATATATAATAGAAATGAAAGAAACACAGAAAGGGGAATTTTGTGTGTTTATGCCATCTTGTCAAGAAAGAACCACAAATGATTGTTAGTTTCCTAAAAGTAGATAAGAAATACAGATTCTTGGAAATTCAAGAAAGGCCCAGAGAGAAAGAATGGAAAGGCCAAGAAAAAAACACACAGAGAAAGGTGAATTTAGTGTGTGTTCTTGTAATTTTTTTTCTCTCCAAAATTACATAGGAATTGCAAAAAGAGAATCTGGGAAGTTCAAAAAGGACTCAAAAGAAAGATTCAAAGAAGGAAAACCAAGAAAAAAACACACAGAGAATGTTGAGCTTAGTGTGTGTTTGTGTGTGTACCATTTTTATAGGATGAAGAACAATATATATGTGTGTGTGTGTGTGTGTGATTGTTAATTTACTGAAAATCCGTAGTGATTGCCAAAAAGATCATGGGAAAGTCAAGAATCCCAAAAAGAAGGGAAAATACACACACAGAAAGGTGAATTTAGTGTGTGTGTCAGAGTGTGTGTGTGTGTGTGTATATATATATATATGTATGTATAACATTCTTGATTTCTTGTTAGGATGCAGAACATATAGATATGAACGTTGATCAGAAAAGCTTTCTGGGAAATTCAGGAAACACTACAAGAAGGAAAAACCAAGAAAAAAACACACAGAAAGGTGAGTTTGGTGTGTACCATTTTTATATTTAATTATTGTTGATTTTCTCAAAATCCATAGTAATCACCAAAAGATTCTGGGATTCAAAAAAGGGAAACCAGAAGAAAAGGCACACAGAAAGGTGAGTTTAGTGTGTATTTGTGTGCCATTCATATATGAATCTTGATTTTCTCAAAATTCATAGTAATCACCAAACAGAATATGGGATTCAAAGAAGGGAAACCACAAGAA